ATTAGTCTCTCCTTTGAGTTTCAGGATCACTATTTTGATGTTCAAGATTTCTGATTTGCTATTTTTCTAGTTTATTTAGTTGCATGTCCAATTCACAGATCTACTCTCTCTTTTTTATTGATGTAAGCATTTAGTGATGTATTTCCCTTAAGTACTATTTTGTCTGCATTCCATAAAGTTTGATGTGTTCTCACTGTTGTCTTTATCTTTAATAAAATTATTGTTTTATGATTTGTTTGACCCATTCATTCTTTCAAATTAGATTAATTTAGTCTGTAATTACTTTCTAATCTATGCTTCCGAGATCCTTTGAATGTAATTTTTATAGCATTATTGTCCTAAAAAGGTTTATTTAATATTTCTTCTTTTCTGTTTGTGAGATTATTATGCCTTACTACATGGTTAATTTTTGTGATGATGCCATGTACAACTGAGAAAAAGGTATAATCTTTTCTTTTCCATTCAGTTTTCTCCAGAAGTCCGTTATATCTAACTTTTCTAAAATTCTACTCATCTCCTTAACTTCTTTCTTATTCATTTTATGGTGTTATATATATATATATATGTATATATATCTATTTCTGAGAGGTTGAGCTCCCCTACCAGTATATTCTGACTGTTTCCTCCTGTAACTCATTTAACTTTTCCTTTAAAAATTTGTGTACTATGTCATTTGGTACATATATGTTTAGTATTGTTATTACTTCATTGTCTTTTAGCAAAATGTAGTTTCCTTGATTATCTCTTTTAATTAAGTCTATTTTTGCTTTTTCTTTGTGTGAGATCATGATGGCTACCCTCTGCCTTCAGCTGAAGGATAATAGATTCTGCTTCAGTCCCCTATTTTAACTCTTTATGTGTCTTTCTGTTTTAAGTTTGTTTCTTGTAAATAATGTGTTGTGGGACTCTGCTTTCTAATTCATTCTGCTATCTGCTTCCATTTTATGGGTTGTGTTTGTATTTCTTACATTGTATTTCCCTCCATCTTATTTTCTTCTATTGTCTGTCTGTCTGTCTGTCTGTCTCTCTTACCCTTTTCCTCTGCAGAATTCTACTTTGCTTCTGACCAGTGACTCCTTTAATCCTTCTTCCTTCTTGTCACCTTCTCTACTTCTCTTGACCCTTTTTCCTCCCATTTCCCTGTTGGGTAAGGTAGATTGCCATACCTAACTCTGTGTATTGTGTGTACATGTGTGCATTGTTTGCTCTTAGAACCAATTTAGATGAGAATGAAGTTCAAGCATTGCTTGTCTCTTCTTCCCTTCCACTTCTCTCCTCCACTGTAAATCTTTTCCTTGGGCACCTCTTTCATGTGAGATAATTTCCCCCATTCTTCCTCTTCTTTTCCCAGTGCATCCCTTTCTCACTCTTTGATTCTTCTTTTGAAATAATCCCAACATGATGGACTCAAACCTCTGCCATCTGTCCATGACTCTAGAAATGCCTTAATAATGTTAAAGTTCTTAGAAGTAACCTAAATCATTTTCCCATATAAGAATGTAAACAGTTTAACCTTATTAAGTCCATTATAATTTCTCTATCATGTTTACCTTTATATGCTTCTTTTGTGTTTTGTGTTTGAATATAAAATTTTATATTGAGCTCTGGTCTTTTCATTGGAAATGCTTGAAAGTCTCTATTTCATTAAGTATCCATTTTTCCCCTGAAGGATTATACTCATTTTTTCTGGGTAGGTTATTCTTGTTGGCACTAGGCAGCTAGGTGGCACACTGCATAGAGTGCCAGGCATGAAGACCCGACTTCAAATCTGGCCTCAGACACTGTGTGACCCAGGGAAAGTCATTTAAACATGTTTGCCTCAGTTTTCTCATCTGTAAAATGAGCTGGAGATGGAAATGGCAAGCCATTCCAGTATCTCTGCCAACAAAATTCCAAAAAGGTATCATAAAGAGTTGGACAAGACTGAAAAATGACTAAACAAAACAAAATCTTGTTAAGTGTTACTGGTGGCTCTGCTGTATTTGAATTATTTCTTTCTGTCTGCTTGTAGTACTTTCTTGTTGACCTGGGAGTTTTAGGTTTTGGCTACGATATTCCTAGGAATATCATATCATATCATGTTGGGATCTTTTTCAGGAAGCGATTGGTGTGTTCTTTCAGTTTCTATTTTTCCCTCTAGTTCTGGTATTTTGGAACAGTTTTTTTCTTTATAATTCCTTGCAATATGATGTCCAGGGTCTTTTTTTTTTTTTCTGATATTGGCTTTCAGGTAGTCCAGTCCATCTTAAATTATCTTTCCTCAGTCCATTTTCTAGGTTGGTTGTTTTACCAGTGAGATATTTCACTTTTCCTTCTATTTTTTTCATTCTTTGACATTTCTTTATTGTTTCTTGATGTCTAATAGAATCATTAGCTTCCACTTGACAGATTATAATTTTTAAGTAATTATTTTTTGCCCAGATCTCACAACTATGAGTATTTGAGGCAGGATTTTGAATTGTCATAAAGGAGATGGCACACATGATAATTTTATCTATCATAACTGCTTCTTGCCCACACATCTTTCATTCACTTTCTCCTATGTTAAAGTGCCACATCTTGGGTTTCTACTTCTGCAATTAATAATAATCAAAAGCTCTTTATCAAATTTGGTTTTTGTTAGCTTGTGGTTGATGCAGTTGATAGCTTGCTTTCACCAGGGCGTTTGTGGAAATTGCTTTATTTTACCACATGCCAAGGCTCAAGAAAGCTCAAGGGATTGCTTACGGAAGCACTGTGGTTAATTCTTGTTCCAATAAAATATACATAGAGCACAGAATTAAGGAAGTGTTTAACTGAATATGATACAATAAAGTGGTTTGTATTCTGTGTATGGTTCGTACAGATCATATATCCAGGGCCTAAATTTCGGCTTCATTCTGATATCACTAGTCTTTCCTTCACTTCCTACTTGTCTTGCTTACATGAGGATGGACCAACGTCTTCTTTTCTTTGGGGAAACCATTCCCAAGGCTTCCCCCCTGCCCCATATTGTATTGTAGAAACATTCAATAATTTCAAATTCTTATAATTCACCTGTATGTTGTGATCACATAGTTTATATCTCTGTAAACAAATTTCTAATGAAACTTTGTGTAGACTTCTTGGCATCTCTCATGATCCCTTGCATCATCATCATTCATGTATTTATCTCATCCCCTCCCCCCCCAAAAGACTATAAACTTGAGATTACAGTATTTCATTCAATTAAAACATATTAATTTAACAGTACTAGACACTATGCTAAACTTTAGGGATACCAAGAAAGGAAAAACAAACAGCCTTTTCCCTAAAGGAACTCACATTCTAATGTAAATAATTAAGTATGTACAAAATACTGAGTATATGAGAGGTAAATTCTGGGAGAAGGGTATTGGCATATGAGGTGATGAGGAAGGACATGCAGAAAGTGAGGTTTCAGCTGAGTCTTGAAGGAAGCTAGGGAAAGAAGAAATGGAGGTTTGAGGAGAGAACATTCCTGGCATGGGGGAAGTGAATTCAAAGACAGAGAAATAAGAGATGGAGCATCTTATACTTAGAACAGCAAGTAGGCTAATTATACTGGATAAAGTAGGGATGGTAAGTGTAAGAAGACTAGAAAGATACGAAGGGGCCAGATTATGAAAAATATAAATACCAAATGGAAGATTTTATATTTGATCCAGAAATACAGGTTGCTGCTGAAGTTTGAGAAGGAGAGAAAGGGCACCGTGGGCAGAAGTACACTTTAAGTGCAGTGAATAGAGCATTGGCCCTGAAGTCAGGAGGACCTGAGTTCAAATCCGGCCTCAGACACATAATACTTACTAGCTGTGTGACTCTAGACAAGTCACTTAACCGCAGTTGCCTCACAAAACAAAACAAAATAACAGTACACTTTAGAAAATCATCTTGGTAGCTGTGAATGGAGAATGAATTGGAGGGGGGAGATTTGAGGCAGCTAAAACAAATTGAAAACATGAAAATTGCAAGGCTATTTGGCTGGAAAGATAATAGTGTATCATTAGCATCTCACACAAGGCCTTGCTTAAATCCGAGTCACTTAACAAAAGATGAATAAAGGAATCAAGTTCAATTGTATAGGTTTTTTTGGAAATAATGACCTTTGGTAGTGAGTTTTTCAAACTGGTAAAAATTTGCCTTACATGTGTGGCTGGGAAACATTTTATGCTTTACAAAGCACTTTCTTCACAATCCTGAGAGATAAGTGGCACAAATATTTTTATCCCCATTTTACAGATGAAGAAACTGAGACTTAGAAATATAAAGTGACCTACCCAAGCTGACACAGCTAGTAAGCACTTGAGCCAGAAATCTAACCCAGGTATCCTGACTTATGATCTAGTGTTCTTTTCACTGTGCCATACTATTGAAATAAATATGTCCACAAGCCAGCAAGTAAAAGAAAAAGTATTATATCTTTCTAGCATCTTCAACAGCTGACTTCCTCAACCATGGAATTATCATATATTTGTATCATCTTAAGTCAGACAAAGAGTTTTGAAAAGGCAGAATGACATAGTGTTTAGAGAGCTTCTCATGCAGACAAGAATACCTGAGTTCATATACTTTGGCTGGCATATACTGAATATGTGAGCCTGAGTAAGCCATTTAACCTCACAATGCCTCAGGCACTCTGAGATTTATCCACTGCAGAGAAGTGCCAGTCTGCTTTGGAAGAGGGAATTTTCTGATCAGGAGTTCCCTATCCCAGGGAAACCGCAGGTCCAGTAATAAAAGAGCAGGGTTTATTGAGCTTAATTCCTCAAGTGGACTCTAGACAAATGTGTAATGATGTGAATTTTGACTATGGATGATTCTACTGTGGGAAAGTAGCCAGTTGATCAGATTTGAATTTGCTTATGTCTTCTTCAACATTTCCATTGGTATTGGACAAGATTTAAATCTAAAAATTGAATGGAATCACATACCAAGATGACCAGATGAGACATGGTAGACTCACTCATGCTTCTCTTTTGTGGTTCCTTCCTCCGAGGTAGGGAGAACAATCCCATCTCATGAAAGAACATGAAGATGTTCAGGAACAAATGACCTTGCGCTACGAGGAACGAATCACAGAGCTGCACAGCATCATTGCTGAGCTAAATAAGAAGATTGACCGCCTGCAAGGAACAACAATCAGGTAAAGAATTCCAGATTCCAGCATTCTCAGTAAAATATAGGTTGTGTGATTATACAGATATAAATAGAGCTCCTTCTTGTGGGAGTCCTGCATGACTATTCACTATTTTCTTTTATCATCCTTATTTTGTCTGTGTTTCACACAAATGTTATGTTCCCCTCTCAGAGTTTAAACAGGCTCGTGTGTATTGTAGCTGGGCATCTTTATGTTATAATCTTTTAATTGTAGAGATGTAAGGAGCTGGCCTCAGGAAGACAAGTTCAAGTCCTACCCCTGACACATGCTTGCTGTTTGACTCTCATTAAGTCACTTGACATCTCTCAATGCTCTAACTGATAGAAAGACTTAATTTCTATAATGCTTTGAATTTGAAGGAATATTAAAATATCTAATTTACTTTTATTTATGTTATCTAAACATGGAAACCAAGATATGAATAATATGAGAATCCCTTTGCTCTATTATTTTTGTTCTAAGAAAAAATGAAAAAAATTAAGGCACATAGGCTAGTGGGCAACTATTTTCTTGGAATTGCTGTGGCTCAGAGATTGTTCTCCCATTCTAAACACTCATGGGCTCAACCATAATATGATGTTCTTCCCAGACTTTAAAGTATTGTTTCATCCCAAAATACTTGAAAAAATATCCCGTTGACTTTTTATGATTCTAGACATTCATATCAGTTGATATGAGGCAGACATGACATTGAAGATACAGGACCATAGTATGGCCTTGGATAATACTCAAACAGAAACCATGCCTATTATTGTGATTTTTAAATGCTAGATTTATGTTACATTACAGAGTTTAGGGAAGAATTTTCCAACCCTGGTATTCCTGGCCTTTTCCCAATCAGGGAGCGTGCATTTTGTTAAGTTCTTACTGTGTGCCAGGTCCTGTGCTAAGGCCTGGAGATAAAAAGGAAGAAAGAAGAGTCCTTCAGGAGCTCATGTTCTGATGAAGGATACAACATATATATAAATAAATCCATGCAAAATAAATACAGAATAGAGGAAAGGCAACTTTAGAGGGCAAGCTTCTAGCAACTGGGGCAGGAGGGAGAACATTCCAGGTGTGAGGGACAGCCAGTGCAGAGAGAAGGGATACTTCTGTATACTGTGTATGCAATAGCAAGTGTGCCAGCATGGCTAGTCTGCAAAGTAGGTGAAGGGGGGAGTCCAGAAGCTGGAAAAAGAATGGAACCAAGTTGGGAAAAGCTTTAAACCCAAATGGAAGAGTTTATATTGGAACCTAGAAGTAACAGGGAATTACTGGAGTTTGCTGAATATGGGGACAGAACTATGCTTTACAGAACTGATTAAATCATTTATCCTCTCTGGACTTTAGTTTCCTCCTCTGTACCATAGTCCCTTCCAGCTCTAAATCTTATAATCTTGTAAAATTGTGAAAGGTTCTGGTTCTGGTAGATCTGTAGCAGAATTAAAATAAGTTCTCTTTTTTAAAAAAAAGTTTATTTAGAATAAAGAAAATCCATATGGAAATCACCTTTCTTAATATGGAACAGATTAAAGTAGGTTCAAGAAATATTTTTATGAGTCTGTGAACAATATGATGGTTTAAATTAGTTTGTTAAACTGAATTTCATTGAATTAAATTGGTAAGGGGAAAACAGGAACCTCTATGTAGCATTACATTCAACCCAACTTAACAGTTTGTTTGCAAAACATTGTGCCCATTGTTAAGAAAATTTAAGAGATAAGACATTGTCCCAGCTTTCTTGAAGCTTAAAGTCCAATAACTGAGTTTTATAGGATGCTCTGAGGTTTTTGTTGTTGTTTTGAGTCCTTTCAGTTGCATTCCATTCTCCGTGACACCATTTGGGATTTTCTCTGCAAAGATACTGGAATGGTTTGCCATCTCCTTCTCCAGCTCCTTTTACAGATAAAGAACTGAGACAAAGTTAAGTGACTTGCCCAGGGTCACAAAGCTAGTAAATGTCTGAGACCAGATTTGAATTCAGGTCCTCCTGACTCCAGGGCCGGTGCTTGCTGTATCCACTATGTCACCTACTTGCTCCGCTCTGAGGTTTACAAATCATTTTCTAAAAGACAAACCTATAGTTAGTGCTAATGTCCCATTTGTAAATTATTTAAGCTGTGTTACACTCTTCTCCAAACCATCCTTTGGAGCCCTAATCGGAGATTGATCTCTGGCCCAGATATTCATATTCTGTGTACTATGACATACCTATATGCAATTAATTACACTTTGATTATTGTGGTCCATAAAGATTAGTTGATTCACATGATGGGGTTGTTTTAGTTTATTTTGGGAAGAAAAAGAGAGCATCTTTTGCCAGAACGTTGCCCACTCACATGTGGTACTTGATATAGCTGAATGCCCTCATCATGATCCCAGATATTCATTCCCAATTATCTATCTCTTTGAATGATGTTATTTACAACAGTCATCTTAGAAGTCAACCACTTTATCCATGTAAAAGAAAGAAATGAAGAAATATGTCTTCAACTAACTCTGGAATTTGGTTTTGAAGAATTCTGTCAAAGCAGATTTAACAGGAGATCAACCTTCTTCCTCAAGAAGACTCACTTGTTTAAAAAAAAATCACTTGTTGCATTGAAGTGTGCTTTTAGCAAAACAACTTTCAGAATATGGGAAAAGACAATAAAAATCCTTATTCCTCAGCTGCCTTAGAGCTGGGGGAGAAAAAGATAACTTATTTTTGATCAGTTTAATTCTTAGTATCACAAGAACTGCTCTCTCAGAGTATAACTAGTGTTTCAGAGCAATATGGTAAAGGGGAAAACTCAGTGTTTTGGGATTTGAAGGATTTATGTTTGAGTCCCACCTTTGTTACTATGGGTATGACCTAGGACAAGTCACATCACTTCTGTGGTCCTCATTTTCCTCTAATGTAAAGCGAGGAGTTTGGACAAGAGGAGCTAACATTAATGTTCTTTCTTTCTTTCTCCAAATCCTGTTTTATCCAACTTGGAGCTTCTGAGCCAGGGCTGACTCAATTTAGTCTGGTGAGACTCTATATAAGAAAAGGAGTTTACTTAACAATAGCCTGCATATGATTTAGGAAGGAAACAGAATTGTCCATAATAAATTTTTAAAAATAAAACCAAAAAAAGGTCTGCTTTTGACCAAAAATCTCTAGAAGCAGTTGTCAACTTCTTTTTGTCCAGAGATATCTATTGTTGGCCACCTAATGATTAACCTATTTATGCAGTATTGACCTATACTTATGTCCCATAATTCATACCTTTCTAGTTCATGTTGTTTGGGTTTAAGTGTTATGAATAATTCAGACGGATTTAATTTTGCATTATTTGTACATGTGTTCAGTGGTTATAAGTGTTCTTCCTGAATCATCAGTTTAGTACTGATACTGTAGTTATCAGTGCCCTTAGTTACTCATACAGTCAGTGTGTGTATACATGTGTGTGTATACGTGTGTGTGTGTGTGTGTGTGTGTGTGACAGAGAGAGAGAGAGAGAGAGAGAGAGAGAGAGAGAGAGAGAGAGAGAGAGAGAGAGAGAGATTTTAGAGAGGAAACATTAACAAGCTTAAAGGTTTTCCTCCTTATTAGTGAATACAAGTAAAAATTGATATCCCATTTAATAAATCTTGGAGTTAAATGTTTTCACACTATTTCCTTTTCTCTACCATCTCCCTTTCTTTTCTAGAACTCTTGTGGGACTCTTAGTGGAGTATTTCTTGGAATTACTTCTCCATATAAATCCTGCAGCACCTAGTTGAGTTTGAAATGTGAAGTTTGACTTTCCGTTGGTTCTATCAGCTCCTTAGCTCCTTAGCAAATTACTCTCTTTCTAGGAGAAAAGTCCTGTTAGCAGGAAATGTTGGGAAACTGCTCTATATGCCATGTACCTGCTCTCATATTCTATGCTTTTATGTGCTAGGGGGCTCATATACAGCCTTTTCCCCCACTTGAATTGAAATAATTCAGTGGCTATAACTTTAGGCTCCAAAGGGAAAAGCATTTCCAACTCAATAACTTATACTCCATTTTAGTCCATAAGTGAATATATAGGCCATTATTGTGTGTTTGTAGGCATAGCAACAGTCCTTGTTCCACCACCTAAGTCACCACCTAATATGGGCATTTATTTGTTAGAAAAGCAATACTTCCTTATTTGTGTGACTGCTTGGGAAAGAGGTCATCGCCATATGTGTCTCTTTGGCATCATTTTGCCTTGCCCCTTAGACTTCCTCCAGTGACTTTCTCCTAGTCATTCTATTGTGGGTTATTTTACTGACTCTTCCTTTTGTTTAGGGAAGAAGATGAGTATTCAGAGTTTCGATCAGAGCTCAGTCAAAGTCAACAAGAAGTCAATGAGGATTCTCGAAGCTTGGATCAAGACCAGACATCTGTCTCCATCCCTGAGAATCAATCCACCATGGTCACCGCTGACATGGGTGAGCAAAAGAGCACTGGATTTGGAGTCGAGTACCTGAGTTTAAATTCTGCCTCTGTCACAGTGTGTGTGACTTTGGGCAAATCAGTTAACTTCTGGGCCTAAATAACCTCAGATAGGGGGCAGCTAGGTAGCACAGTGACCCTGGAGTCAGGAGGACCTGAGTTCAAATGTGGCCTCAGACACTTACCAGCTGTGTGACCCTGGGCAGGTCGCTTACCCTAATTGCCTTAAAAAAAAAAGTGACTTCAGATGCCAAGTGAGGGCATTAACCTAAATGATCTCCAAGGTCTCTTCTACTCCAAAATCAATAAACTTATAATGCTTACCAATATTACAAGACTAGAGCTCTGGTCTTTATAGGTGCAATACATGTTATATATAAGAAATATTGATCTGAGAATTTAAACCAAAAGGGCAAAGAATAAATAGTGTCTTCAGATGAATGAACAGGAGCAGATAAAGCTCCAAATAGATACATGGCCTTCACATAAACGGTTATATCATAAACAGTTCTTTCAGGTTTTGTCCAGTTTAAAGAAAATATAAAGAAGTGTTTATATATCTTTACTCCTTTTGGAGGTGTGAAGAAGTTTCCCAGTCAACTTAATGGAATTATAGGAAGGTTAGCCATTGGCTTGTTAAAGTATTAACCATAGCCTTGGTGGTTTTTAAAAAGCAAGAGCAAGCTCTGAAAAGTCAGTCTTCTCTGGCTGTTGAGAAGAGGTCCATCTGTAGAAGTAGGAAGAATTGGGTTCTTTGCCCTTTTCATTGCACCTTTACCAGGGTACATTAGGAGATGGGAGAATTTCTCTTCCCATCAATTGGAAATGCCATCTTGCAGCTTAGTCATTTACCCAGTAGGAGGTATTGAGCCCAAAAGAGAGCAAGCCCAGAAAGTTCAGTTCTAGAGTTCTGTTGATGTGTGGAAGGGAGCAGGCCCAGGAAACCAAAAAGAGACACTACACCCCAGGAAAGCAGTATGAGGACTTCTATCAGGGTCCTGCAGTGTCAGGTGTGAGTTGCATTGGCGATGTGTGTTCCCTACATGTCTGCAGTCTCTGCTTGTACTCTGCATTTGTGTCCACTCTTCCCAGTGATCCTATGTGAAGTCAAGAAGCTCTACTTGGTTTCCATTCTATGAAACATAACCACTTCCTCTTCCCCTAGCAAGATAAGCTGGTCATCTGAAAGCTTGTAGTTACACCTAATCTTTGATGGTCAACATCTCAACTCCCTCAGTTTTCTCTCTGATTGGAGGACTGGAGGGAAGAGCAATAAATTCCTCCAAAAATCTTTTGTAGAAGGTTCAGAATGTTCCAAGTGACTCTCCATTTTCCATCAACACTTCTACTTGGTTTACACTCCACAGAATATAATGCTCCCAAGCTGAATACTCTTTAATTTTCCTTTCCCATTGTCAGCTTCCTTTGTCTTCTCACGTTAAGTTGTAAGCTCCTTGAGGGCAGGGGCTGTGTTTCTTTTTTTTTTTAACTGTGTCTCCAAAGAGCCTGGTATATAGTGTCTCATCACAATAGTATTCCATCACAGTCATATACCACAACTTGTTCAACCATTCTTCCATTGATTCATGCCCTGCCAAAATTTGTAATTGCCACCACAAAAAAAAGCTGCTATAAATATTTTTGTACGTATAGGTCTTTTTCCTTTTTAGTTGATCTCTTTGGGGTTCAGACCTAAGAGCAGTATTTCTGGGTCAAAGGATATGCACAGTTTTATAGCCATTTGGGTGCAATTACAAATTGCTCTCTAGAATGTTTAGATCAATTCATAGCTCTAACAGCAATACATTAGTGTACTTATTTTTCCACATCCCCTCCAGCGTTTGTCATTTTCCTTGTTGGTCATGTTAGCCAGTCTAGTAAGTGTGAGGTGATACCTCAGAGTTTTTTTAATTTGCATTTCTTTAATTATTAGTGAGTTAAAGCATTTTTTCATATGAATATTGATGGCTTTGATTCCTTCTCCTGAAAACTGTCTATTCATATACTATGACCATTTGTCAGTTGGAAAATGTCACTATTATTCTTATAAATTTGGCTACCTAATATGTTCTACTGATGTACCACTCTATTTTTTAACCTGTACCAGATTGTTTTGATGATTACTACTTTGTAATACAATTTGAGATCTAGTATGGATAGGCCACCTTCCTTCAAATTTTGTTTTCATTGATTCACTAGATATTCTTGTCCTTTTGTGCTTTCAGATGAATTTTGTTATTATTTATTATTTTTCTAGCTCTATAATTTTTTTTCACTTCTTTTACTTCTATACCTAATCTATTCTGTTGATCCATCTCTCTATTTCTTAACCTGTACCAGATTGTTTTGATGATTCTCATTTTGTAGTATACTTTGAAATCTGGTACTGCTAAACTACCTTCACTTTTTTTTTCATTGATTTCTTTGATGTTCTTTACCTTTTATTCTTCCAGATGAAAGTTATTTTTTCTAGCTCTATACAATACTTCTTTGGTAGTTTGCATGGCACTGAGTAAGTATATTAACTTAGGTAGAATTATCATTTTGTGCATATATGTTTGATTATTGATATTACTTCATTGCCTGTCATACCTTTTAGCAAGATATATAATTTCCTTCCTTATCTCTTTTAATGAGATCTATTTTTGCTTTTGCTTTGAGATAGTGATTGCTACCCCTACTTTTTTTCTTACTTCAGCTGAAGCATAATAGATTTTGCTCCAGCCCTTAACCTTAACACTATGTGTGTTTCTGGCTTCAAATGTGTTTCTTATAAACAGTTTATTGTACAATTCTGGTTAATCCACCATGCTGTCCACTTCTGTTTTTATGGGTGAATACATTCACATATATTTCTCTCCATCCTATTTTTCCTTTGTTTATCTTTCTCTCTCTTACCTTTCACCCTGGCCCTCCTCACAAGTGTTTTACTTCTGACCATCACCACTTCCAATACTTCCTTTCTGTCATTCCCTCCACCTTCTCTTATTCCTGTCCCTTTTTTCCTTTCCCGTAGGGTAAGATAGATTTCTATGTCCAACTGACTGTGTGTGTGTCATTCCCTGTCTGAGCCAGTTCTGATGAGAGTAAGGTTCAAGTGTTACTTACCACTCCCCCCTTCCAGTTTTCCACTCCACTGTCATAGTTTTTTTGTATTCTTATGTGAGATAATTTACCCCATTCTCTCTCCCCCTTCCCTTTTCTCTGGGAAGACCAGGGTAATATTTTTTCTCATCCTTAATTTTGGGGTTTTTTTTGGATATTATTCCATCATAATCAGCTCTCACTCATGCCCTCTATGTATACCGTTCTAATTGCCCCAATATTGATAAAGTTCTTAAGCGTTACAAATATCATCTTACCATGTCAGAATGTAAGCAGTTTAACCTTATTGAATCTCTTATGCTTTCTCTTTCTTGTTTCTCTCTTTTTGTGAGGCAATTGGGGTTAAGTGGCTTGCCCAGGGTAACACAGCTAGTAAATGTCAAATTACTGGCCTGAAACCAGATTTGAACGCATCTCCTCCTGATTCCAGGGCTGGTGCTCTATCTAGAGCGCCACCTAGCTGCCCCTGTTTCTCATCGTTTAATGTTTCTCTTGAGTCCTTTATTAGAAAATCATTTTTGTTTTTGATTTAGCTCTGGTCTTTTAATTATGAAGGTATGTAATTTTCTCATTGAAAACAAACAAGCAAACAACTGACCTGGAAAATTGATCCCGGAAAGATAAGAATTGCTGGACTGCCTGAAAGCCGTGATCAAAAACATCATTACAACATTGCTGTTACCATGCACAATGATCTCCCATTTCTTCTCACTTTACTTTGCACTAGTTCATGTAGGTCTTGCCATGATTTTCTGAAACCACCCTCCTCATTACTTCTTGTAGCACAATAGTACGCCATTACAATAATGAGGCACAATTTGTTCAGCTGTTCCTTAATTGGTGGGCATCCCCTTGATTCCCAATTCTTTGCCACAACAAAAAGAGCTGCTTTAAATATTTTTATACAGACCTAGTAGTCGTATTGCTGGGTCAAAGGGCACGCAGAGGTTATATTACTTTGGACATTGTTCCAGATTATTCACCAGAATGGCTGGACCAAATGATTACTCCACCAGCAGTTCATTATTGTACCTATTTTTCCCTTTTCCCCTTCAGCATTTGTCATTTATGCAAGTGCCAGGTAGTACCTTTCAGTTTAGATTTCTCTAATGAATGGTGACTTGTAACATTTTTATATGACTACAAATAGCCTTGTTTTCTTCTTCTGAACACTGCCTGTTTATATCCTTCGACCATTTATCAATTGGGAAATAGCTTCTTTTTTAGAAATTTGATTCATTTTTATATTCCATTTACATTTGAGAAATAAGGCCTTTATCAGAGAAACCTACTGTAAAATTTTTTGATATTATTTCATTGTCTATGGTACCTTTTAGCAAAATATATTTTTCTTGATTACCTCTTTTAATTAGGTTTAGTTTTGCTTTTGCTTTGTCTGAGATCATGATTGTTACCCCTGCCTTTTTTTTTACTTCAGCTGATGCATATTAGATTCTGTTCTAGTCCTTTGTTTCAACTCTGTGTGTGTGTGTGTGTGTGTGTGTGTGTGTGTGTGTTTCAAGTGTGTCTCTTGTAAACATATTGTTAGATTCTGGTTTGTAATCCATTCTGCTATCTACTTCTCCTTTATGGGTGAGCTCATCACACTCACATTCACAGTTATGATTTCTCTCTTTTTATCCTGTCCCTCCTCAAAAGTCTATTTTGCTTCTGACCGCAGCCTTTCTTAATTTGCCCTCCCCTTTAGAATCTCTTCCCTTTCTCTTATAACTTTCATTTCCTTTTTCCTTATTGGGTAAGTTACATTTCTATATATATCTGAATGTGTGTACCTATTCTCTCCTAGAACCAATTCTGATGAGAACATTGCTTGCCACCCCTTCCCTATTTTCTCTTCCATTGTAAAAACTCTTCCTTGCATGCCTCTTTTATGTGAGAAAAATTTTCCCCTTCTGCCTCTCCCTTTTGCTTTTCTAACATTTAATATTTGTTTTCTTTTGGTACTATTCTGTCTTTAAATGGTGAAACTGAAAAGTCAGCTTCGCACTCTGTCTTTTGTGGCCTGAAAATCCTGAACTAGGATTCAGAGACTGTGATTGTCTCTGGTGCTGAGAGAGGCATTTAGTAGAGCAATTGTATTACCACAGATATACTATTTGTAGGCAAATTAGGTTTTGCAAACATCCATAACCAAACATATTATTTGATGTGCCATAATAACATAACTTTGCACAGAAGATAGGGCTTTGATGTGCCTGCTTTATAGTAGACTATTGCAGTGAAAAATAATTAATAATAAGCATTTACAAAATGCTTAGCACAGTTCCTGGCACATGATAGGTATTCAACTTTTATTGATTGATTGAGTAATCCTCACAGTAACCCTGGGAGGTAGGTGCTATTAATCTTCAGGATTGTTTTTCTAACTTTGTTAAATAGAGTAGCAAACACTAGTCATTAATATCTTATTTTTAAAAAAAAAGCTTTGGAATTTTGTAAATCTAGTGGATAGTTTTGACTAGTACTTTTTAGATCTTGGGTGGTTTTTCTTATTTTTCAGGATTTTGTGGCTCTCGAAATACTATATTCTCAGGATAGAAGCTAAGCACATATAGTACCTTTGTTTTTTGTGTGATTTTTTTTTTAACAAAACATGACCTTGGTGTATGAAAATTTTGGAGCACAGCCAAGAAATAATGTGTGGATAAAACTTGGTTCTTTGCGTATTTGTAAGTAGTAAATATGTTCAATGTTGAAGTCAAATATTTTCTTGCTTCTAATGATAGATTAATCTTAACCATTTCAGCAGTCAGCAGATATTTTTTAAAAACCCTGGCACTCAAAAAAGTTATCCTACAGTTCTCAGGCTGCATAAACTTGTGTAAATAAGCTTGTTTCTCAAAAACATTTTGGCCTTTAATACAGTTTTTTTTCCCCTTGCAAAGTGGGTAGCAAGTGTTTTCAAGCTAAACTGAATGTCTTCTAGTTTCTTTCCTTCCCCATCCCAGAGAGCTATCCCACATAAGAAATAGTATTTTTAAAGAAAGAAAAAGAAGAAAGAAAATCAGCAAAACCAGTTCATTGAAAAAATCCGGCACACCCATGGACCTACCCCTCTGCAAAGGAGTGGGTAGGAGTGTGTTATTTCTCTTCTTTGGAACCATGGGTTTTTGTTTTGGTAATTTTATAACATTCATTGTTATTGCTTTTAGATTGTTCCTTCTATCTACATTGTTGTAGCCATAGTGTTTTGTTGTTTTCTTGGCCTTTGCTTACTTTACTCTGCATCAGTTAATATAAGTTTTTCCATGCTTTTCTAGTCATTATAGTCATCATTACTTATAGAACAGTAATATTCCATTATATTTCTGTACCACAAAAAATGCTGCTTATATTTTGATGTATGTATAATATTGTCATTTCTTCTTATCAATGACCTTCTTTTAAACAATCAAAATTATCTGCTTTACCATTTGCAGTTATGTCTATCTCTTGTTTGGTTACAAATACATCTACTTATAGCTGTTAAAGATATATGATCTGTTTTTCTTCTAATTTTTTAATAGCAAGAGGTCACCTATCCACTTTGAATTTTTTGTCAAATATGGCTTAAGATGCTGGTCTTAGCCCAATTTTTATCAGAATGCTTTCCGGCTTTGCCAGTAGTTATTTTGTTTTTAATATCAGATAGGGAATTCTTTCCTAAGTAAATTACATTTTCTGGTTTATCAAACATTAGTTCCCATCATTCTTTGTTCTCTTATTTAGTCTGTTCCGTCAGTCTAATTCTCTGTTTTTAACCAATGTTAAATATTTTTTCATTTCTTCCTTTTTCCTTAGTGTGTTCTGTCTCTCTCTCTCTCTCTCTGTATGTATGTATGTGTGTGTGTGTGTGTATATATATACATGTGGATATATGTATGTATACATACATACATATATATGTGTATATGTATGTGTGTATACATACATATATATATGACAGTGGTTTTATTTTTCTTTGTTCAGTTGGGAGGAGGATTGGAGGGGAGAGAAGAGCAAGGGACAAGGGAAGGGAAGGGATGATGCTAGGAAGGAAGGAAGGAATCACTAAAGATTTTTAAACGAAGAGACAAGAACAAAAGAAAGACCAAAAAGCATCACAGATCAGCAGGACAGCTTTGAAAGTTATATGTTGAATGCATTATATACTTAAGAAAAGCAAGTTGTAATATGAGATTCATATTTTCATATGCCATGTTTTCTTTTTTATATATGTGAAAAGATTATTTTATTTGATGATTTAATTCAGAATTTTAAAAAATTAAAATAAGTTTAAAATGAATATATACCATAGATCTAATACAAAGTATTCTATTTAAGTGACTACAGGTCTGAATTATATGAGGGACACATTATACACACACATGTTACAATAGCAATGCATTTCTCTATAAAACAAGCAACTAACGAATTAAAGGGAAAATATTATCAGTGGCATACAGTATAACAGAATATGCAAAACATCAAAATTGTGTATATAACAGGAAAATTATACATAGACTAATGTAACTACAGTACACTCACAGAACTAAAGCGAAAGCAAAGAGACACAAGAAAATTATAAAAGAAGAACATACTTAATGCATTAAGCAATCAATGTGTGGTAAGGGGCAGGCCTTACTCAGACTGGTACCCTTCTTGTTTAGTTTCAGTGTTGGAATAAAATGAAACTCCAGTAGGTCATTCATCACTTAACAAGAGATTTACTTAGCCGTAGTATAGAAAGGATAATTAACTAAGATCAGCACTTAGTTTAGATAAACTTGCCCCCCACCCGCACCCCCACCCCCACCCTCTCACATATATGGAAACACATCTGGTCAGCAAAGGAGGGTGTGGTGACTCACTTGGTCTTGGGACATTGTCCAGGTCTGAAGGTCTCTGACTTCAAATTGATTGTAATACCCTTAACTAAGGAGAAAGCCAAGTCAATCTGGCCAGAAGCTACCAGGAAGCTGGATGAAAGGAGGCAAGGAGAGCCTTAGCTTCCTAGACCAAACAGACTCCAAGGACAGCTTTTGTTACTCTTTAGGGAAAAATTAGCCTGATCTGTAGGGGCTGTGGGTGGGAGTAATGAAGAGACCTTGGTAGATAATTATTTGCAACACAACATGCCATCAGTGAAGCCATTTAAATTACATGCATTATGTGAGTAAACATTAGCATTATCATCTGACTACATTTCTAACTACTTTGCCATTTTCACTGGGGAAAACAAGTCTGGTCACTGTTTTACTCGTCCTAGTTCTCCTAGGATATGCTGACTTATCTGCCACATACCTGTCCTGGCCAATGTGATTGGCTAATCATAATCCTCATTAGATTTATAATCCTGCATTCCTAAGCCTTTGGAGTCTCATAAAGCACTCTAGTCCCTAATAGAGGTCATGGGATTTTAGAGTTGGAAGAAACCTTGGAAATCATCTTGTCCAGCCTCATTTTACAGATGAGGAAAATAAGGCCTAGACAAGTAAAGTGATTTGCACAAGGCCACACAGATAGCAAGTAGCAGAGCCAAGATTGAGCCCGAGTTCTCTGATTTTTAAATCCTCTGTTCTTTTTGCATATTCCGAATGAGTCCTGGTTTTGAACCTTTTAAAAGAAACCTGCAAATCTGAGGCATAACACTAAAAAGAAGAGCTCATGAAAAATCTGTTCATTTGTCAGTGAAAGGAAAAGGGAATTTAAAAGCAAGGTATGGTCATTTGCATAGCAGTCCAGTTCTGGAGCTCTTGGCTTGGGAACAACAGAAGGCCTTTAAGCTTAAATGGGATGTAAGATGGTTGGATGATTGGGTGATATTTAAATCTCGACATGTCAAACTGCCACCTGACATTTTGAATTATCTGCACGGTTATCTTTTGCAACAGAGGGAAAAAAAGAGGAAGCTCTTTGATATACATGCCAAATATACTTAATTCCACACTTTTTTTACAGATAATTGCAGTGATCTCAACTCAGAACTGCAAAGAGTACTGACTGGTCTGGAGAATGTCGTCTGTGGGAGAAAGAAGAGTAGTTGTGGGCTCTCAGTGGCTGAAGTGGACAGACATATTGAACAGCTCACCACTGCAAGTGAACACTGTGATTTGGCTATTAAGGTAACCAGACAAAAATCACAGATCTGTGATGTCATTTGAAAGGTTATGATGAAAAGACATCCTTTCCTATACTATTCACACTTCCTTATTGGTGGCAGATGTTATAAAGAAAACCATACTCGGTACATTGTGCCACCAAGCAGATAACAGATAATCAATTCATTAAATTAAATTAAAGCAGTCATGACCATGAAATGGACAGCTGAGTTCATTTATTGTCCAGTCAGTGAGCAATTTACACAGCTATAATTAGGTTATTTAAATGTTTAGCCAGATTCTGTCAGTGTCTAAGCAATTCCTATGTTGTATTAATCACCGTGGGAGTCCTATTGTTTCTTTCAAGGCCGCTAGAATATCATTTAGGAAGTTTTTGATTCATGGTGCTACTAAGACTAAAATAAGTTTTAGTTTCACTGTTAGATTAGTTATATTCATAAAGAGGAAATACTGTGTTCCAAAGTCTGCAGATTTTGTCCCAGCCAACATTCTGCTCTGCACTATGGTAGGACCATAGATCTGAAACTGGAAGGTGCATCAGATCACAAGCTATCCAGTCACTTTACTTTACAGAAGAGGAAACTGAAGTGTAGGGAGGATGAGTGATTTGTACAAGATCAAATAGGTAGTAAACATGAGAAGAGAAATTTGAATCTGTGACCTTCCTTGGACTCCAGAGCCAGTGTTATTTCTACTGTGCCAAGATAGCACATCAGAATGTATAAGAGAGAAAAATCAGTTAGTCAACAACCATTTTTGAAGAACCTACCAAGTATCAGGTATTGGTAGAGAGATGGTGCTGAAAACGCAAAGATAGGCAAAAATAGTCCCTGCCCTCAAGGAGCTTACTACATTCTAAGTTTACGCGGGGAAAGCAACATACAAGATTAGATGATACAGAATAGATGTACAGTAACCTGAGAGAGGAAGGCATTAGCAGCTAGAGCAACTGGAAAGGTGTTCTATAGAAAATGGTATTTGTGCTGTCTTGAAGGAAGCCGGAACCTCATAGGCAGATGTGAAAGGGGTAGAGTATTCTAGGCTTAATGAATAGCCAGGACAAAGGTACAGAGTCAGGTAATGGAGTGTTGCATGTGAAGAGCTGCAGCTAGGCAGCATTGCTGGATCAGAGAAGGGAGTAAAGTAGAGGGAAATTGGAAAGTTAGTAAGGGCCTAGATTATAAAAAGCTTTAAATGACAGAGTACTTCATATTTGATTCTGGAGGTTGAAAGAGCACTACTGGAGCTCATTAAACAAGGAGGGGTAAAATGGTCAGACAGACCTGAAGAACTTCAAAAATGTCACCTTGGTGGTTGGTTGATTGAGTGAGGGATTATAGTGGGGAAAAACTTGAAGCAAGGACACAGGTTAGAAAACTACTGCAGTAGTCCATTTGAGCGGCCTGAACTAGGCTAAGCATGTGGAGAAAAGAGAACACTTGCAATAAATATCGTGTAGTTAGAAACAAGACTTGACATCAGTTTAGATATGTGCAGTAAATGAGTAGAGTTGAGAGCTATTCCAAGGTTGTGGGTCTGGGTGACTTGTAGGAAGATAGTACCTTCTATGGTAATAGGGAAGCTCAGAGAGGGGTGGGACAGGGAAGAGTGATGGAGGAAAGATAATGAGTTCTATTTTGGACATGTTGAGTTTGGAACTATGAGACAACATTTAGTTTGAGATAATCAAAAAGGCAGTTGGTGATAAGAATCAGAAACTGGTGATAAGGAGAGAGGCTGGGGCTGAGAATCATCACCAAACCCATAGGAGATCACCAAGTGAGATAGTATAAAGAGAAAAGAGAAGAGGGCCCAAGGCAGATCCTTAAGGGACACTGGGGACACCTATGTTTAGTGGGCATGGTGTGGATGATGAACTAGCAAAGGAAACTGAGGACTAGTTAGATAGGAGGAGAACAGGAGAGAAGAATATCATGAAAGCCTGGAGAAGAGATAGTATACAGGAGCAAATGGTAATTAATATTGTCAAAGGCTGCAGAGAGATGAAGAAGTTTGAGGACTGAAAAAAAAAAGGCCATTAGCTCTGGCAATTAAGAGATCATTGGTAACTGGAGAGGATAGTTTCAGTTGTGTGACGAGATCAGATGACGTTGCAGAGGGCGAGATCAATGAAAAGTCGTTAACTTCATAACAAAAACAACTTGGAATATATATCCTATTGACAGAGGATACAAATATACAAATACAAAAGAAAGCCCTTTAAACAAATTATTGCCTACTCATATATCTCTGACTTGCTATGTACACCCAAAGGAGTTTCCTTGCCTAAAATCATATAGCTAATAAATATCTGAGGAAGACCTTGAACGTGCTTCCTGACTCCAAATCCTGTCATCTTATACCATGCAGCTTCTTAGCCTTCTAACATGAGAATCTGAATAGTTGTAAAAGATGTTTAAGGGGACTGCTTATATCAAGGCACAGTCTGTTTCAGTGTTTGCAAGAAAATGACCTTAAATTAAAGAATTATTTTTTTATCAGAAATCTTCAGCATACCAAAGAAAACCCTAGCGTGTGTTATACAGTGACTTATCTTTATTACTTACCTTAAGTGTGTATTTGGTTAATACAGTTATGGGGAGGATCCCTGGTATTTTCCTTTCTAGCATCTCACAGCTGTGGCTTCAAAACTTAAAGTCGTGGCAGAAGAGCAGCAACAATGTAGATTAGGTGGGAAGCCAGGAGGGGGCTGGTACAGCTACCAGACACCCCTAAAACCACTGGATTGAAGCATCTCTTCTGAAGCACAAATCAGGGAGAGTGACATGGACAATAAAATCTTTCCTTGGACGAACAGGCATCTTTGAGAAGAGCATTAAGTCTGAAAATGTGAGCTCTTAGTACTGGAAGTAGTGCTAATAATTGCTTCCATATGCTGAAAGAAGACACAGAAGTATGTTTCTTTCTTTTTTTTTCTTCTCAATGCGATGGTACCCAAAGATAGTTATATGGGCATGATTTTGTCCTAACCTTGGTGCTTGAAACCTACCTGGAAGAATACATATTCTCTGGAGCCACTTGGAAATTCTGATGTCCTGGCTATCCTGTTTGATAAATATATTTAATATAATTAACCAGCCAGTTAGTAGCTTAAGATTATCATTTTGTGATGTATTTTCTGTGTCCTTCATCTAAACACACTTAAGCCCCCCCACTTTTTTTTAATAATTGACCAATACTTCATTCCACAAAGAATATTAGAAGTAACATAGTATTTCAAAAAACAAGAAAAATAGGTAACTTTTTGATCCTCTTTTCCTACATGTTATTTTTCTTTTAGACACATGTATAATATTGCACTCCCGTTTCCAAGCACTAGTAAGGAAGGCTTTATAATGACACAAATCCCTCAAAGACTGTGTCTATCTCCTATATCACAGAAGGCCATTTTGGTGTTTTTCCTGTTTTAGAACTGAAGTTCATGCAGTCTGAATTCCTGTGATGTACGAAGAGCTCTATTTATGGTGAAATAACGTATCTTGTCACTGAATTGGTTTTAAAGGACCTTTAAATGAGGAAGTCTCCAATCAGATTTTGTATGTAGTATTCACCATAATGTGCTTTCACAGAATTATAAAGATTACTAATTATATGAAGAAGTAGCTTGTTGACTAATTATATAGTCCTAAGAGTTTTATGTATTATTGATATTCTTAATTTAGAGTTGTAAAGGTAATAGGCATGTATTAAGTGCCGACTATGTTCCAGGAAAGGTGCTGGGGATCCAGAGACAAAAATGAAACACCTTTTGTTCTCATGGAGCTTAGGGTTTGTTTTTGTTTTTGTTTTTGTTTTTTGAGAAACATGTACATTAAATTATATCTTAAAATACAAAATAAGCAAAAGATGTAAATTTTTGTAGAAGAGGGCACTAATAGCTGGGGGGATTAGGAAAGTCTTCATTTTAAAGGTGGCATCTAAGTAGAATTTTGAAGGAAACAGAGCATTCTAAGATGAGGGTGAGGCATGGGGGTATCCAGTACAAAGGTGCAGATATAAGAGATAGAGGGCTATATGTGAGGAACAGCAAGAGGGCCAGTTTGACTGAACCATAGAATGTGAGACAGTAATATAAATAAAAGTTTGAATCGTATTTTGGAGCAGGTGGTAAAGTTCTTAAAAGACAAACAGAGGAACTTTAAATTTGATCCTAGAGTCAATAGGAATTGACAGGAGTTTGTTGATTAAGGGAGTAACGGACAGATTGGCACTTTAGGAAATTAACTTTGCGACTATGTGTAGGTTGTAAGGGGAGAAACTTGATGCAGGGGATCAGTTAGCCTATTGCAACAGTATTGACAAGAGGTGATGAGAGCCTCCACTAGGGTGATAGCCACATGAGTTGAGATTAAAGGAAAGATTCTAGAATTGTGGGTGTAGAAACAGCAACATTTGGCAACTGTTTGGGTGTGCGGTATGAGGGCAAGTGTAACCTTGGATAACACTGAGGTTGTGAACCTGAGTGACTGAAGAGATGGTATAATACCTTTGACAAAAATAAGGAAGCTCAGAGAAGGGGGCCTATGGCAGAATATGAGTTCAGATTTTAACATGTCGAAACTGAGATGCCCATGAGACATCCAGTTTTAAATACCCAATGGGCTATTGGAGATGTGTGAGTAGTTTTTTATATGCTTGGTGAATATTGTATAGAAATAATTAAAATTGCAGAAGGTGATGAGATCACCAAGTCAGAGAGTCTAGATCAAATAAGATAGTACTTCTAATGCACTTAACAAAGTGCCTGGCATGTAGTAGGCACTCAATAAATGCTTATTCCCTTCCCTAGAGAGAGAAGATGACCCAGAACATTGTTAGGAGATGTTATTTGGGTGATGAGCCAGCAAAGGAGACTCAGAAGAAGGCAGGTTGGAGATGAACCAGGAGGAAAAGCAGCATAATAAAAACCCAGAGAGGAGAGGGTATCCAGGAGGGAAGAAAAGTCAGTAGGGTCATATGCAGCAAAGACTTCAAGGAGAATGAGTGTGAACTTTGAAAATGCAGTCATATTTGGCAATTAAGAAATCATTGGTAACTTTAGAGAGAGTAGTTTCAGTTGAGTAATAAGACTGGAAATCAGATTACAAAAGGGTGAGGAGTGAGAGAAATATTTTATTGTTGATGGCTTTTTTCTGAGAGCTGGGTTGCAAAAGAGAAGAAAGTCATAGGATGATAGCTTGAGTTGATGATAGGGTATAATATGTTGGGTTGATTTTTTTTTTCATTTTTCCCCTCTAGCAGGGAGAAGATGTGTGTATATTTCAAGAAAAGAGCAGTAGATAGGGAAAAATCGAAACTTAGAAAGTAAGTAAGGATGATAATAAGGCCAATCTACTCCAGCAACTGGGAGGCAGTAAAGAAGAGTTAGCCTTGTCAAGGAAAAGAGTCACCCCTTCATCAGATACTAGAGTAAAGTTTAATGATCAAACTTTAATGATAAAGTTTAATGTCAAGTTTTCTGAAGACATGGAGGGAAAAAAAAGGAGTTTGTGGGCAGTGGTCTCTATTCCTACAAGTAAAGTATAAGATATGTTGAACTGAGAAGATTGGGGAGGGAATAGTGTGAGAAGCTTGAGGAGAAAAAATTTAGAACAGTCTCTGTGAAAAGTAGGACAATTATGGAATAGTTAAAGAATTGTCTTGCTGTGGTGGGGACCCAATTAAGATTACATAACACAAATCTTTAAGTACTTGTGTTGAATATTACAATACTTTTATAGATATAAACCTAGGAAAAAGAATATTTTTCTTGCTCTTGAGATTTTTGAATAACATAGTTTATGACTATACTGCCTCTATCTATAAAATAAGGAAATTATTGAAAATTTTAAGATTTGTAAGAGTATAGTCTTAAATACCATTTTAAAGGAAATCATTGTGCCAATCTCAGGTGGGCTCTTATTTATATATGACACTTTTTTTTTCCCGTCTCTCCTTTACCTCCAAAGTTAATCTTTCCTTCTTTCTGCATTGGGTTTTTGTAGACAGTTGAAGAGATTGAAGGAGTATTGGGTAGGGATCTCTATCCCAATTTGGCTGAAGAGAGATCTCGATGTGAAAAAGAACTGGCTGGCCTAAGAGAAGAGAATGAAAGCCTGACTGCCATGCTGTGTAGCAAAGAGGAAGAACTCAACAGGACCAAAGCCACCATGAATGCAATCCGGGAGGAGAGAGACAGGCTACGAAGAAGGGTAAGAAGCCTGGTCCCATACACAGCTTTTTAATTTTCTTTTGAAAGTGTGTTTCTAAGAAAAATTAGCACAGAGAGACTCCATCTTGAACTTCTTACAGCATTAGAAATTTTAGCTTCCCCAAACCATAATTTATAAAGAAATCTTTTGAAAATATGCAGTCTTAAAGTATAAAGAAGTTGAGTTAAGCTTTTTTGTAAAGCATTATAACCTAATGGAGTCCAGGTACATTTTCACTTTATATCAGGGAATGTATCAACAATGGTGAAACTGATCATTTCAAGAGTAGAAAAGTATATCAAATCTTTTTGTCAGAAAGGGTGATCTTCAAAGTTATCATTTCTCCTTAAAAGGCACATCCTTTGTCTTGGTTGAGTTAGATCTGTTTTGAAAGAAAAGAGAGAACAAAGCAAAAGTACGACTTTTCTCGGTAAATACTTTAATTCCCTCTGAACTGAATTTTGAATCTCCTGACTATCCCCATTCTTGTTCTCCTTTTCTGAGTGTCTTGCAGTGGTATACCAATTAAAAATCTTTGTTTTCTAAAACATGCAAAATAGGAATTCAATTGAGAGAAAGATGAATCACTATAAACAAACAAACATTTAATCTCTTCAACTTCTAAAGGGCAACTTTGAAAAGTATGATTTCTCTGTTAATATCAACACTTGTGATCACATTTCTTTCCAAACTGTATGCATGTTAATTTTCTTAAGAATTTTCATCATATTTGAGTAAAGAATACAAGAAATTTTTAACTGATATTTTTCTTTAGCAGCAAAGTCATGTTTCTTGAGGACTGAGCATATCAGTATTACTTAATTATTCAACTGGGTGATCTCTAACATTCTAAGGTATTTTTTTAAAAGTATTTCAGTATTTCACTTCTTCCAATCACAAATATAAACAATTTTTAACATTCCTCTTTAAAATTTTTGAGTTTCAAATTCCCTCAAATTAGTCATTTTCCTTTTCTTTCATACTAGCCAATCTGATAAGTGTGGATTTCTCTAATCAATAATGAGTTAGAGCATTTTTTTATGTGACTAGAGATAGCTTTGATTTCTTCTTCTGAAAATTCTCTGTTCATATCCTTTGACCATTTATTAATTGGGAAATGACTCGTATTCTTATAAATTTGACTCAGTCCTCTATATATTTGAGAAATGAGGCCTTTATCAGAAAAACTTGCTGCAAGTTTTTTCTTCGGTTTTCTGATTTCCTTTAAATCTTTGCTGCATTGGTTTTGTTTTTGCAAAACCTTTTTAATTTAATGTAATAAAAATTATCCATTTTATGTTCTGTAATTCTGTGGCTTGTTTGATTATAATTTCTTCCCTTATCCATAGATCTGACAGGTAAACTGTTCCCTGCTCCCCTAATTTGCTTGTGGTATCACCCTTTATGTCTCTATCATGTACCCATTTTGACCTTATCTTGGTATATAGTGTGTGATGTTGTTTATATCTAAGTTCCTGCCAAATTGCTTTCTGGTTTTCCCAACAGTTTTTGTCAAATATTGAATTCTTGTCTTACAAATGGGGATTGGGAGTTTACAAAACATTTGATTACTGTGGTCATTACCTACTGTGTATTGTGTACCCAATCTGTTTCACTGATCCACCACTTTATCTCTTGGCTAGTACCAGATTGTTTTGTTGATTACTGCTGTGTAATACAGCTTGAGAGTTTTCCTTCATATTTTTTAATTAATTCTCTTCATATTCTTGAACTTCTGTTCTTCCAGATGAATTTTGTCATTATTTTTTTTTACTCTATAAAATATTTTTTGGTTGTGTGATTGGTATGACACTGAATAAATAAATTAATTTAGTAGAATTGTCATTTTTATTATATGGGCTCAGCCTACCTATGAGCAATTGGTTGTTGTCCTTTGTTCTCAGAGAGGTCCAAAATGACATCACTATGTCAGGATCAAGATATGGTGTGTCAGACTGTGGATAATCAGATTGATACAGCCTCATAAGGCTCTACCACAGATCAGGCATGAATAGTCCATATGAACATTTGGAATGGAGATGTTTCTAAATTTGTGCAGCTCATATTTCTTTTAAGCTACTGCAATTCTGCTTTGTTCATAGAGCACAACACCTTCTTTGATACAGGCACATTGTGCTGGGTGCTTCTGTGCCAGGGTCGGTTGTTTTTTTCAATGAGATATTTCAAATTTTCTTCTATTTTTTTCATTCTTTTGATTTTATTTTATTGTTTCTCATGGAGTCATTAGCTTCTACTTTCCCAGTTCTAATTTGTAAGGAATTATTTTCTTCAGTGAACTTTTATACCTCCTTTTCCACTTAGCCAATTCTACTTTGTAAGGAGTTTTTTTTCAGTGAATTTTTATACATCTTTTTCTGTTTTTTGTTTTTTCTTTGCTTCATTTACCAAAGCTGTTGACATGTTTTCATGATTCTTTTGTATCACTCTCATTTCTTTTCCTGATTTTTTCCTCTACCTCTCTTATGAGCCCTTTCAGCAAATGTTTTTGGACCTGACAGCAATTCACTTTTTTCTTTGAGGCTTTGCATATAGCTGATTTGACACTTTTTGGCATCTTCTGAGTTTGTTTTGAGTTTGTCGCCATAGTAACTTTCTATGGTCAGGTTCTTTTTTTGTTGCTTGCTCATTTTTCCCACCTATTTGACTTTCAACTTTATGTTAAAGTTGGGTTCTACTCTCAGGGTGGAGGGGGCACTGTCCCAAGTTTCAGGTTTTTTGCTGTGCTGTTTTCAGAGCTAGTTCTAGGAGCCTCTAAATTTTCAGTTCTTATAAGGTGATGTGATCGAAGGAGAGGTACAGTCACTACTCTCCTGACCTATGCTACGGTTTGTAGGCAAAATTAAGCACTCTTTTCCACCCTAGAACTGTGACCAGAGTCCTCACTCTCCTGTGGCTAGTGTGCTAGTGCTCTGCAAGCTGGGCCTGCATCCCAGATCCCAGTATGGGAAATGCAACAGAGTCCACCCAGCACTAGCAAAAGGTCCTCTGTAGTCTCCTTCTGACTAGCTGTTTGACCCTCTCACTGTCTGGCTGAGAGCTGTAGAAGCTGCTGCTGCAGATTTAGTTATACCTGAGGTCTGCTGGTTTGCTGGGCACTGTTGGCTTGAGGGGCTTTCTAAGGTATGGCCTGTGCTGGACTCAACTCTCTCCCTAGCAAGACAGGCCTTTTCTGTTGACCTTTTCAGGATTGATTGGAAATTTGTTTTGCCCCCTCTGGTTTTGCCACTCCAGAATTCGTTTTGAGGCATTATTTTAAAGGTGTTTGAGGGGGAATTTAGAAGAGCTCAGATGAGTCCCTCCCTTTACTATGTCATCTTGACTGTGCCCCTCTATAACTCTAATATTATTTTAAAATCAAAATCTTTGATTTTATATCAGAAGCCATTTTCTACAGGCCAGGGTAAATTATCTCAGCAAAAGTTTTTATCTGTGCAGAGTAATGAATTTGCTTACCACTAAAGCTCATACCACATGTAATTTCCTGGGTGTTTCACTACTAGGTCATTATGACTAATGTCCTATTTAATTACACTTGCCTTTCTGTATGTGCGTTTTATTATATGCTTCTTTATGAATTCTCCTAGACAGGAGAGGCCTGTCTTAAAGTAATTAGACACTGTGGAAGCAATAAATTCCTTTCCCTGACCCGAGATATTGGAAGTAGTGAGGCACTGGAAGATGACTGGCAAAGAAGAAAATTTAGCTAGGTCAGTAACCTTTCTCTAACCCCCCACACCTCTGATGTCAACCTCATTCTGGGTCAAATGCCAACTTGTACATGCCTGAACATTACTTGGACATGACCATTTTCAGAAATAAGCTGCCAGACACATTACACTGATTCTTGTGGGATATGCGAGTGGATCACTCATGCCTGACAAAATTTAAGTTCGTGTTATGTTCTTAGAATTTAGAGCTAGGAGATACCTCTCAAAGGCCATTTATCCCCATCCCATCTTTTTATAGAAGAGGAAACTGAAGCTCCAAGAGGTGTACCACTTGCCTGTTAACATGGTTGATATATATTTTTTAAACCTAAGTCAGTGCTCTCCTAATGTTACCCTCACATCTCCAAAAGAATGTTTTCAGGACATGGTATATCTGAAATCCCAGTCTCATAAGCTTAGACAAATATCAGTGTTACTGGCTGTGTGATTTATTATTAGATTAACAAACTATATATGAGCATATTTAAATATTTCAGTAGTTTTATCAAGTGTGAGAAATATCACAGGTAAAATTAGTCTAACCATCAGATACAACTGCCACCTTCTCTTTAATACTAGAAGCACAGCCTAACAACAGTTCTTTTCTCATCCACAAAATAAGTTAAATGCAATTCTGTGAGAGTCAGCTCTTGTCCAGAATGACAGTTAAGCTGTAACTCCTGAACTTAATTTGCTTGTAAAGATACAATTATACTGTCCGTAGTCTTTGTGGAAGAGACTGTTTAAACGAAGTTTACATTTATTTCAAACTGTTCTTCAGGAAGCTTTTATTAAGTACCAACTATGTTCCAGGCACTATGCTAAACTCTTTGCAAATATCTCATATTAGCCTCATAACAAGGAATGTTTGTTATTATCCACTATATTTCACATGTGTATGTGTGTATATATACATACATGTACATGTGTTCTATATATGTGTGTATAATATGCATTATATATGTGTATATAAATGTTATATATATGCAATAGGTATTCTATTATATATATATGTAAATATACACATATGTATGTGTCTAAATCTATATATACACACATACACGTGTGTATATGTTCACATATATATCTATGTATGTGTGTATATGTATATATAGATATAGGTATATGTATATATAGAGATATAAAATATGAAATATACTATTAAATGCTATTACACTATATGCCTGTCATCCCCATTTTACAGTTGAGGAAACTGATGCAGATAGAGGTTAAGTGATTTGCCCAGGGTCATACAGTTAATAAATGTCTGAG